CTTTGTACCTTGGGATGAGCAGACGTGTGCTGAGCCTGCCCCCTACTGACAGCTGGTGAAAGCATGGTTTTCACAAAATGGCGCAGCAGGGTCATCATCGGGTAAACACAGTTGGCACAGAAGTGGTACGTGGACTGTCTGCTCAATCTGCTCAGCTTTTACTACCTGCCATAATCCGTGACACCTAGGGTATAGTGAATGAAGAGTTGTATGGTGTGACCTCATAGGTGCATACAGAATTTTCGTCAAACTTCATAACGCCAGTGTCTATGAGAAGATGGTGGCCAGAAACTAAGATATTTGTATTAATGTAAATCCTGCTGTTACTGTGTGACTACATGACATATCCCATTATTATACGTGGATCAAGAAAAGAAATGTGCCTTTTGAGGCTGATGAGTTGGACCTTCGTGCTGTTTTTGAAAGATACGGAATGGTTCACATGGCTATGATGGGGAAGTGGAAGGCAGGATCGTGTGCTGATATGCCTGAGGGAACGTTCACTTTAAAAATGACATTGAGACATCCTGTTCCCTCCTATGCTATTCTAGATGACTTCAGGACGCAAGTAATGGTCACCTACGTGGGGCAACGTCGCACTTGTCGAGTGTGCGGGGCCTATGATCACACTGCAGTGCAGTGAGGTCGTCGGCAGGATACTAAGGAGTCAGGACGTCACAAGGAGGCCCTGGTTGTCCAGGAGAAGATGGCTGAGTCAGGGATGGAAAAGACTTTGTCGAGACGGGCTTGGAGTGCAGAGGTGGAAGAGTCAGAGTTGAATGAGGAAGTATGTGTGGCTCTTCCGGGGGGATCCACGTTCTTCGGGGGCTGGACCTGAGGATGTGGGAGGAGTGACGCCTGAAGAAGCTCGGGACATATAGGCCACGATCGAGACAGTGGTGCATGACCTGTTGGGCACCCCAGGTGGGGTGTCCATGGAGGGACTTATGGGTGACCTTTTAGTCTGCTGCGGAATGGGGAGACGTGGAGGGAGGAATGTCAGAGGAAGGAGTAGATGCTGCTAAGAGGAACTATATTGTGGAGGCAGACATGCATACTGATGGCGTCAAGGAGGATGTAATGGAGGAGAAACATGGGTCACGGAAGAGAGTTGCTGCTCTCTCTGATATGGACGATGTGTTAACTCCGGCACAATGTTCTGGTAAAAAGATTTGGGCGGTTGTAGCGAAAAGTGGTTCTGGGGGATCCACTGTCCAGAGACCTGTGAAAGGTGATTCTTGGTGGTGTCCGAGGTGGTAAGAGAAGGAAAGTGGAAAGGGGTGTGCCAGTGCCTAAAGGAAAGCCTCCCATGTTGGCTTCAAGAGTCTCACTATAAATATTAATGATTTGAGAGATAAGATGAAGTGTAAATGGTTCAGTGAGTTTTTAGTAAGGTATGGTGTAGATGTTGTGTTTGTGCAAGAACACAATCACAAACTGGGATGTATGTTGACGATTGAGGGGTATAATGTTTTTGTGGCACACTCATTGAGATTGAAAGGAGGTGTAGCTATATTGCTGTGGGAGACTAGCCCACTTGTTGTGCATCGTAGTGAGGAGGGTGGGGAGGGGAAGGTTTTAAGGGTAGATGGATTGTGGGGGAGGGAGGGGGTGGCCTTTGTGTGTGTTTATGGCTCGGCATTGGGGGACAGTAGAGTTAAGAACGAGTTTGTGAGGGATGTTTTGGTATATCACCTGAGGTCGCTTCCCGCAGTTGCAGTAGTGGGAGGTGATTGGAATTGTGTGATACGTCGTAGGGATGTGGAACCGATTCAGGAAAAATAAAAGCACTAATGATGCAATTATAAAAAATGCTAGATCTGCTTTACACAGCATTGGAAAATAAGGAATATCCACTAGGAATTTTTATTGACCTAAGAAAAGCTTTTGACACAGTAGACCACGGCATCCTACTCCACAAACTTGACCATTATGGTATAAAAGGCCATGCGCTTGCATATTTTAAATCCTTCCTTACTAATAGGTATCAGTATGTCACCATTAAAGACACAGCATCATCAACACGGCCACTTGATACTGGAGTTCCGCAGGGAAGTGTCCTTGGTCCCCTGCTCTTCCTCATATATATCAATGATCTTCCAAATGTATCCCAACACCTGAACCTCATTCTCTTTGCTGACGACACGACTTAGGTCATCTCTCACCCTAATCTTGCCACCCTCAACACCATTGTTAACGAGGAGCTGCTCAAAATATCGACTTGGATGATAGCCAATAAACTTATGCTTAACACTGACAAAACCTGCTCTATTATGTTTGGTAGCAGAGCAGGAGTTGTAATGAGGGCAAACTCCTAGGCCTATACCTCAACAACAACCTGAATTTCAGCACCCATATAAAACACATAACCAAAAAAGTATCCAAAACGGTTGGGATCCTCTCCAAGATATGATACTACGTACTGCAAAATGCCCTTCTCACACTGTACCACTCACTTATTTATCCATACCTCACATGTGCTATTTATGCTTGGGGATCAACTGCAGCAACTCATCTAAAGCCAATAATAACCCAACTAAAAGCAGCAGTAAGAATAATCACTAAATCCCATCCCTGGCAACCCCCCCCCCCATTCTTCATAGATCTAAACTTACTCCCTGTTCAGTACATCCACACTTACTACTGTGCAATCTACATCTACAGGATCTTAAATTCCAATATTAACCTTGACCTAAAATGCTTTCTTGATAGTTGTGACAGAACCCACAGACACAAACATCTCTATGACATTCCCCATGTCCGTCTAAACCTTTACAAAAGTTCAATGTATGTCAAAAGCCCTAAAATCTGGAACACCCTCCCTGAAAACTCTAGAACTGCAGACACATTCATCACCTTCAAAACTACCATTAGAAAACATCTTATCTCCCTGATACACCCCATCAACTAATTACATGAATACCAACTGGTGGTTCACACTTACACTCACTCACCCACTTGACCTTAAACACAGAAATATCAATCTTAATCTTAAAATAATAAATCCTAACTAGTCATAAGTTGGCCTGTGATACTCCAATACTGAAACTATGTATTGTGCAAAAACAAAAGCATTCACATTGCTAAACTCACAAACTAGTATTTAGTCACTTAGCCATAATACCAACTTACCACATAATTTGTAATATTTTAAAGTTAAAAATTAATCTAAGTCTTCCCGAAATGCCTAGCCATGCTAGGTGTTCTAGTGGCCCACTCTGTAATTAGTATTTTAAAACATGTAAATCACACAATATCCAAATTCTGTAAACTCAGCATTGTAATCCTTATGGCGAATAAACTTGATTTGATTTGATTTGATTTGATTTGATTTGTTTTCGGGGATCTGTTAAGAAAGGTGGGGTTGGTAGATGTGAGAGGGGGGGTTCTGCATGGGAGGTAGAACACACCTTTGTGTGGCAGGGGTATGTGGCACTGTTGTACCGGTTATATGTGACTAGAAAGGTGGAGGTTCGGAGAATGAGCTTGTTGGATGTGGTCTCTTCAGACCATAGGGAGGTTTTGCTAGAATTGGGGTGGGAGGGACTGCCTAACAGGTATGAGAGTTACTGGAAATTGAATGTCCGGTTGCTTAATGATGTGGAGGTGATGCATAGGTGCGATTATGGGAATGGTTGTCACCTGGGGAGAGTATAGAGGGGGATGTGCTGAGATGGCAGGATACAGTAGCTAAGAGGAGGATCTGGGAATTCTATGGTCAGTGGGGGTGGCGTGAGACTCAGTTCGCATATGGGCTTAACAGGTATCTTGAGGGGCAGTTAAGGGATTGTTGTAGGAGAGGGGGAGGGAGTGCAGGATACCAAGTGGCAGAAATAGAGGGGTTGAAAGTCAGTATCAGGGTACTACAAAATGAAAGGTTTGATGCGGCAAGGGTACTGGGGGGTTAGAGGAGGTGGTATGGGTGACAGGCCATCTGTGTGTGTCCTGTAATGGCAGAAACATCAGTGCATGGCTACAGAAATGGTGGGGTTGCGTGTGTATAAGGAGATGGAGGAGAATAGGGAGGGGCAAGAGTTGGTCACAATGGAGGGTATGGGAGGGTATGTGGATGCATGGTACAGGTCATATATGAGGAGTGTTGGTGTGAGGGAGGAGGCTTTATGGGATATTGGGGGTTGGGTGCAATGTGTGCTTGACAGGGGGACAGGGAGGTGTTAGATGGAATTATCATGGAGGAGGAGGTATAGATGGCATTGATGGGCATGAGTAGGGGCAAGGCACCAGGGATAGATAGGCTGCTGAGTGACTCTATGTACAGCATTGGGGTGTATTAAATGGGTTTTTAGTGAGATTGCTCAGTGTCATGAAGGAGAGGGGTGTGTTGGGGGATTTGCAGGTGACGGCGATTGTGGTTTTGGTCTCAAAATGGGAGCATCAGTCAATGGTGAGGGACTAACAGGTAATATCGCTCATGTGTGCGGATTATAAATTATTTGCAAAAAATATTGGATAATGGGTTGAAAAGAGTCATTGGTAAGGTTATAGTTGGGGTCAATATGGGGTACTGGGAAGGTCAATGTATGAGGGGCACGGGGTCATTAGGGGGTTTATAGAGAGTATGTGAGAGGGGGGAAGGGTGTTAGTGCTGGATTGGAGGGCGGCATATGATAGTGTCGAAAGGGAAGTGTTGTAGTAAATAATTAGGTGGCAGGGGTTTGGGGAGGAGATTGTGTTGGGCACTTTGTATCAGGGAGTGGGTATGTGTGTACAGATAAATGGGCAGGGGATTGCGACAGGGTTGTCCTCTTTCACAACTGTTGTTTGCATATTTACAGGACCCATTTTATAGGGCAGTGGAACAGTGTGTGAGGGGGGATGATCAAGGTGGTGGAAGACCTGGCATCACTGGCTACATTGATGATATGACGGTCCTTGTGTGTGGGAGGGAGGGATTGGGGGGCGTGGGGAGAGTCATGGATGTTTTTGGGGAGGCAACAGGTATGAAAGTAAATGTAGATAAGTCGAAGTTCATGGGGATAGGGGACTGGGATAGGAGGGTAGGTGGGGGTGCCAGTGAGAGGTGGTGTGTTGTGGATCGGGTAAA